TCTGTGGGTGTGCTGTGTCACATCAGGAGGTACATAACTGTCTAGTTGTTCTACTTTAGTGGGTCAAAAAGTGATCACTGGATTCAGGTAAAGTTCATACTACTAACCGTTGGTTTGGGCAGCCATTGATGACTGTTGCTTTAGGTCCATTATTTCACTAGAGGTTCAGAAATGCTGGGTTTTCTGTCATTCCTATTCATGTATTAGCTAGAATTTTTTCTATAAAAAGTAACTTCCCTTCAACAATTTAGTTACCCTGAGAATATATAGTATTTTACAAACAGGCCAGGTGCAGTGCTCAGACCTGTAATTCTAGCATTCTGGGAGGATTCCTTGAGCTCAAGAGTCAAGACCAGAGCAAGAACCCATCTCTACTAAAAGAGAAAACATTAGCCAGGCATTGTGGCACATGTGTGAAGTCCCAGCTACTCAGGAGGCTGAGGCAGGAGGATTGTTTGAGCTCAGGAGTTTGAGTTTGAGGTTTCAGTGAGCTATGATGACGCCACTGTACTCTAGCTGGGGTGACAGAGCAAGACCCTGTCTCAAAAAAGCAAATCAAACAACAAAAAGAAAAAACCCGCAGGATACACAATAGATTCTTTGCCTTCATTTACTAAGTTTTGAAATAGTGGAGGGTACTGTGGCAATTTTCAACGATGACCACTAAGGTTGTTTCTAATTGGATTATCATTTTCAATTTAGCAATTTTTTTTTTTTTTTTGAGACAGGGTCTCATTCTGTCACCCAGGCTAGAGTACAGTGGCATCATCATAGCTCACTGCAACCTCAAACTCCGGCTAAGTGATCCTCCTGCCTCGGGCTCAGTAGTTGGGACTACTGGCATGTGCCACCACATCTGGCTAATTTTTCTATTTTTTGTAGAGTGGAGTCTAACTCTTGTTCAGGCTGGTCATGAACTCCTGGCCTCAAGCAATCCTGCTGCCTTGGTCTCCAAAGAGTAGGATTAGAGGCATAAGCACCACAACATGGCCTGAATTTAGGAATTTGACATTTCATATAGTTCAATCCATTGGAGTCATTATTATTCTTGGTGCTCAAATTATTCTATTTTTGGCCAGTGGGACCACTTGAGGTCAGTTTCTGTGTCCTTTGACACAATTTTTAGTGGCTTGAGACAGAGACATGCCATGTTGCCCAGGCTTCTCAAACTCCTGCCTCAAGTGATTCTCCGCCTCAGTCCCCCAGGTAGCTGGAATTACAGGGATTTGCCACCCACACTAGCTAGACCTTAGTAGACTTTTATAGGTTTCTTACTTTCGTGTGGCCAAGATGATTCAAATGTATTTTGGACACTTCTGGCTTCAGATAGAAAATTAGTCTTTCTTCAGGAGGTGCTGGTTCCTTTTTTATTTTTTTATTTTTATTTATTATTTATTTATTTTTGAGACAGAGTCTCGCTTTGTTGCTCAGGCTAGAGTGAGTGCCGTGGCATTAGCCTAGCTCACAGCAACCTCAAACTCCTGGGCTTAAGCAATCCTACTGCCTCAGCCTCCCAAGTAGCTGGGACTACAGGCACGTGCCACCATGCCCGGCTAATTTTTCTATATATATATTAGTGGCCAATTAATTTCTTTCTATTTTTTATAGTAGAGACGGGGTCTCGCTCAGGCTGGTTTGAACTCCTGACCTTGAGCAATCCGCCCGCCTCGGCCTCCCAGAGTGCTAGGATTCAAGCGTGAGCCACCGCGCCCGGCCCTATTTTTTTTGAGACAGAGTCTCCTGTTGCCCAGGCTAAAGTGAGTGCCGTGGCGTCAGCCTAGCTCACAGCAACCTCAAACTCCTGGGTTCAAGGATCCTCCTGCCTCAGCCTCCCTAGTAAGTGGGACTACAGACATGCACACCATGCCTGGCTAATTTTTCTATATATATTAGTTGGCCAATTAATTTCTTTCTATTTATAGTAAAGAAAGGGTCTCGCTCTTGCTCAGGCTGGTTTCGAACTCCTGACCTCAAGCAATCCACCCGCCTCGGCCTCCCAGAGTGCTAGGATTACAGGCGTGAGCCATGGCACCCGGCCTGGTTCCTTTTATTAAAGTAGAATATGGTATTAGGGACCATTTCGAACTCCTGACCTTGAGCGATCCTCCCGCCTTGGCCTCCCAGAGTGCTAGGATTACAGGTGTGAGCCACTGTACCCAGCCTCTGACATTGTTTTGTGCCTATAGTCCCAGCTATTCAGGATGGTAAGGTGGAAAGATTGCTTGCACTCAACAGTAAGGTCAGCCCTGGCAACAAAGCGAGGCCATATCTCTTTAAAAAAATGCATTTAAACTTTTCTTTTTTTTTTTGAGACAGAGTCTCACTCTGTTGCCCGGGCTAGAATGCTGTGGCGTCAGCCTAGCTCACAGCAACCTCCAACTCCTGAGCTCAAGCGATCCTCCTGCCTCAGCCTTCCAAGTAGCTGGGATTACAGGCATGTACCACCATGCCCGGCTAATTTTTTGTATATATTTTTAGTTGACCAATTAATTTATTTCTATTTTTAGTAGAGATGGGGTCTCGTTCTTGCTCAGGCTGGTTACAAACTCCTAACCTTCAGTGATCCACCCGCCTCAGCCTCTCAGAGTGCTAGGATTACAGGCGTGAGCCACCGCACCAGGCCTCAAACTTTTCAAAGTGGGGTTTGCAGAGTGGCTGCCAGTCTGTGTGATCTGTTTGTTACTAGTCTACAAGGTAAGCGCTTGTATCAGTATATAAATCAACTCTTTTACTGACATTTTTTTCTGAAAGCAAAACTTTCTCAATGAAAGCAGTAGTATGTTGATTTACATTCTGGTGTATTTTTCTTATTTCACTACAAGTAAGTATAGTTTGGATTATACATATAGTTATACATATATGTATACATACATATTATACAAGTAGTATAGAGTCACAACTCATATAAGTCCAGTGATGAGTTGCTTAACAAAGGGCATATGTTCTGTTCTGAGAAATGCATCTGTAGGTGATTTTGTCTTTGTGCAAACACAACAGAGTGTACTTACACAAATGTAGGTAGTACAGCCTATTATATGGCTAGGCTATATGGTATAGCTGATTGCTCCTAGGCTACAAAACCTGTACAGCACAATACTGTACTGAATACCGTAGGCAATCATAACACAATGGTAAGTATTTGTGTATCTAAACACATCTAAACATAGAAAAGGTACAGTAAAAATACACTATTATAATTTTATGGGACCACTGTTGTGTATGTAGCCCAACATTGACAAAATGTCTTTATGTGGAGCAGACTATATATAGAATTTTGCCTGCGTTATGAAAATAAAAAGATGCAATATACTACCAATTCTGGAGTAAAGTCTCTTTCTCCAAACCAATTGCTCAGATATTCCAAGACACTAGTTACTGTTGCCTAAAAGAAAGGAGGAGGGCAGGGAAGAGTTGTATTAGTAATAAAACATGAGTCCAACATAAGTTTCATTAAGTTTATTTAGAAAATAACTCTAATGTTTAAAATAGCCTATTCTCTAGACTGACAAAGAAAACTGTAACTCTAATTAGTAATTTGATTGGACAGCTCACTCAATGAGAAGAGGTTTTTAAAACAAAAAATTTTTTTTTTTTGAGACAGAGTCTTGCTTTGTTGCCCAGGCTAGAGTGAGTGCCATGGCGTCAGCCTAGCTCACAGCAACCTCAAACTCCTGGGCTCAAGCAATCCTTCTGTCTCAGCCTCCCAAGTAGCTGGGACTACAGGCATGAGCCACCATGCCTGGCTAATTTTTTCTATATATATTAGTTGGCCAATTAGTTTCTTTCTATTTATAGTAGAGACAGGGTCTCGCTCTTGCTCAGGCTGGTTTCGAACTCCTGACCTCGAGCAATCCGCCCGCCTCGGCCTCCCAGAGAGCTAGGATTACAGGCGTAAGCCACCGCCCGGCCTAAAACAAATATTTTTATACTTTCAAATATCAATTCATGCCTTGGTTTAAATCCTAGTATTTAGTTTATAAACACTTAAAAAACTTCACATGCAGTTTAAAAAAGGAGTATTTGCATAAAAACCTTCAGTTCACTTCCCAATTCAAATTAAACCAAAGTATGAATCTAAAGAAAAAATTAGCTAGAGAAAGATCTGTTTTGAAGTTATAGAGATAGGATTTATCAAAGTTTTGAAAATATTCTCTGGTTTATTCATATATGGTTGGATGCTTACAAAAAAAGAAAATCACACTGATGGAATTTAGTGTGATTGCTACAGTATCTTAATGCAAATGATTAAGTAAAACTGTCAGCCTGTATATTATTTCCAACAGAGTATTAGTCTCAAAAAAAATATTATCTTCTAAACTATCCAATGCTATATGAAGGCAAATCAAAGTTTTTTATTTTTAAAATTTTTAAGTCTCTTTCCAAAAGAACAAAGTTTTTTTTGCTTTTGAAATGGATAATGAAGAGTCCCTACTCCTAGAAGAACTCCTAGAAGAACCAAACTCCGTAATTTTCCCTTTGATCTAAGAAATTATGTATTTCAATTTTAGTGAAATATGTAGGACAACTAGAACTAGAAATGGCATTCTAACCTTAGTATAGATATTCCTCAACCTATGATGAGGTTACATCCCAATAAAAACCTCATGAAGTTTAAAAATCCTAAGTGAAACCAATGTCAGTTGAGAAGTACCTATATTTAGTTCAAACTCCAGAATCTAAGACTTATAACTGAAATGTACATAATTTAATACTCTAGTAACATGATTAAGAATATGAGCTCTGGCCGGACGTGGTGGCTCACGGCTATAATCCTAGCACTCTCGGAGGCCGAGGCAGGAAGATAGCTCAAGGTCAGGAGTTCGAAACCAGCCTGAGCAAGAGTCTTGCATACTCTAAGTATTCAGTAAATGTATTTAAATACTTTCACATACATTGCAAACAAAAGAATGCATGTATCTTATTATTAGATGAATTTTACCTGATTCATTCTGCTAACAATACTAAGCAAGGGAGGAAAACCAATCTGAAAGAAAAAATAAGACTGAAATTTAGTAAATGATTATAAGGAGGGACTTCTTTTTTATCAAACAGGTGAATTTCCTACCACACTGTTGTTTAGTAACAAAGAATAAATAAAAGAAAATTCTTCCATTGTCCATTCTAACAAGACATTTCAGGAATGATTATGTTGGTAATGCTGAAGAAAATAATGTCTTGAAATTTGAATATAGAAATTTTAAAATAACGTATGATTTTAGCAACTAAAATGTCAAAAGTATGAAATTTTAAGAAATGATACTACTTGAACTAGTTAACTTATCAAACACATTCAATAATACTATAATATATTGACTAGATGGCATTAATATGTTATATACACCATTTCAAAATTTACAGCTAAATCTAACATTTTTAAGAATTAGGGCTGGGGGCAGTGGCTCATGCCTGTAATTCTAGCACTCTGGGAGGCTGAGGTGGGAGAATCACTTGAGCTCAGGAATTTGAGACCAGCTTGAGCAAGAGCAAGATGCCATCTCTACCAAAAAAATAGAAAAATTAGCTGGGCGTGGTGGCACTCGCTGTAGTCCTAGCTACTCAGGAGGCTGAGGCAGGAGGATTACTTGAGCCCGGGAGTTTAAGGTTGCAGTGAGCTATTATGATGCCACTGCACTCTAGCTGGGGCAACAGACCAAGACTTTGTCTTGAATAAAAAAGAATTAAGAGCACTCAAATTAGAACGATATTTTTCAAACATAATTCGAATTGATTTAAAAGTGTCTACTTTGAGGCTGGGCGCGGTGGCTCACGCCTGTAATCCTAGCACTTTGGGAGGCCGAGGCGGGCGGATTGCTCAAGGTCCGGAGTTCGAAACCAGCCTGAGCGAGACCCCGTCTCTACCAAAAATAGAAATAAATTAAAAATGTCTACTTTGGAGTTTGATCCTGGGAGTCCTACTTATGAAACACCACTGACTTATGAGAAACTTAGGAGGATATGCATTAAACTCTTGCTTCCTTAGGGTTTTGTTTTTTTTTTTAACATGGTGTATCTTACTTGGGTATATTCTGTGATAATAAGTTAATACATTTTAATTCTTTACTAAATTAAAAAATATTTTCAAAATGTGGCATATATTAAGGATATGATCAAAAGAAAAAGAACAAAAGGTTGAATAAGAAAGAGTGCCAAATTAGCTTTCCTATACCATGTGTAAGAGTGGCTCTTTTCTCAGGCTTTGTCAACATGGTGTATCAAACTTTCTTTTTCTTTTTTTGGAGACAGGGTCTCACTTTTCTGCCTGGGCTAGAGCACAGTGGCATAATCATAACCATAATGCAACCTCAAACTCTTGGGCTGAAGCAATCCTCCTGTCTCAGCCTCCCAAGTAGCTCGGATTATAGGCACTGCATGCCTGGCTAAAAACTTTTAAAAAATTTTTGAGACCGGGTCTCGCTCTGTCACCTGGGCTGGAGTGCCGTGGCTTCAGCCTACCTCATAGCAACCTCAAACTTCTGGGCTCAAGCAATTCTCCTGCCTCAGCATTCCATGTAGCTGGGATTACAGGCATGTGCTGCCATGCCTGGCCAATTTTTCTATTTTTAGTAGAGATGGGTTTTGCTCTTGCTCAAGCCGTTCTCAAACTTCTGACCTAACTGATCCTCCTGCCTTGGTCTCCCAGAGTGCTAGGATTACAGGTGTGAGCCACCTTGCCTGGCCTTAAAAACTTTCTTTGCCAATATGTTATCTGAAAAATAGCAGCTCAGCAGAGTTATAAGTTATATTTCTATTACAGTGAGGTTTGGCATCTTGTCATATTTATTTCCTTTTGATGAGATGTCTATTTATACCCTTTGCCTGTGTTTTGTTTTGGGGGGGAGGGGAAGGAGTAGTTCTTGGTCTTCTTAGTAATTCTTGGAGCTATTTTCATTTTGGGGAAAAATTAGTTTTAAATGGGAAAAACACAATGTGGGCACTATATAGCAAATAATAAATACCTGTTGAACAAAACAGAATAACATGATAGAAGGAGTAGTAATGCAGCTACATACAGTGGGTTCTATAGGAACATCTGCAAACTCAGGGGTAAATGAATCCAAAAGTACAAAGACTACATAATTTATGATTAAAGCAATGTGAAATTTAAATATATCCTCAACATTTCATCTTCAGATTATGCAATTTACTAACTATTTTATAACACCTTTCTAATTTTGTCTTGTTTTCCTTTTTTCCTCTGACTACTAATAACTTGTTTGCCCAATGCCTCATCATTTCAAAGAAGTCAATTCTATCTAATTCATAAAATTATTACACAGCTAAACATTAAAGATATGAAGACAATTTAAAATAAATCACAGTAAATTGTTCGGAAACTGAGCCATCACATTGTGATCATGACACAGAAGAGATCCCTGCCTCTTAACCACTTCCGTACAAGCGTCGACTATAGCCGACAGCCACAGATGAACATGCAGAGACTTTAGCCGACAGCCGTGATATGACTTTTCTAATTTTTCATTTATCAAAATAAAATTGTGAACATTTAAAAATAACATAATGAAAACATATATGTATATGTTACCTATTCTGATTTACATTACAAGTAAAGCTGCCTGTAAAATAAAACAAGCTTTCAGTGCTTTAAAGCTTTCCTCATCACACAAGAGCAAAACGGATTTACCGTCAATGCACAGCACAAACTATCGTGCAGACTATGAGTGCTGGCTGTGAGCAAGGTTTCGCGGCCAGTGAGCGCCCTACCAAAGTGGTTAAAAAAAAAACCAAAGAAGACAAATAAAAATCATTCTTAGCTCATGGGATATATTTGCTGATCTCTTAGGATAAGTAATGCACCAAAATTAGGAAACTTTTTGTCTAGTTTACCCCATATCACCTACTTGTACATAATCGATTCCAGGACTTTCATTTGTAGCTGGTCCAATTGCCCCTTCAGCACATAATCTTTCACCCAGACAAAATTTTTTCCACCCTTCTTCATCTTCAGATTTTGGCTGAAAGAAAAATATGAATTTACTTATTTCTATGTACTTGTTTTTATACTCAACAGTATAAAAAGAAGTAAGGATCCCTCATAGTCCCATCACTTCAACTCAAAGATAGAGTGCCAGTTATGGGCAGAATTTTGTTTGTGTCCCCAAAATTCAAATCTTAAAGCCCTAACCTCCAGTACGTCAGAATGTGACTGTATTTGGAGATAAGTTTTTAAAGAGGTGATTACATTAAAATGAGGCCATTAGAGTGAGCCCTAATCCAATCTAACCGGTGTCCTTATGAAAGGAAATTTGGATGTACAGACACTAGAGACTCCCACACACTGAAGAAAAACCAGATAAGGACATAGGGAGAAGGTGGCCATCTGTAAGCTAAGGAGAAAAGACTCAAAAGAAACCAACCCTGCTGACATCTTGGACTTACAGCCTTCAAGACAGTGAGAAAACAAATTTCTGTTAAGACATCTAGTCTGTTATGGCAGCCCCAGCTAACATAGTGCCTAAGTGGTTACACTGTATGTGGGGTATGTTTAGTTTGGACCACACTTTAATGGACACTGACAAGCAAGGGTGTGTCCAAAAGAGGGTGATAAACATGGAAATCAACATGGAAAAAAATGAACTAAGAATGCTCATAAGAATGAAGAACGTTTATCCCAGAGAAAGAGAAATGATTACATACTTTATATACTTGAAGGGCTGCCCAGTTAGAGAAGGAATAGATTTAGTCTAAGTTGCCAGACAGAAAAAGCAGGACCAGTTAGGAGAAGCAGTCAGCCCAATATAACCACCTTAACAAAACAGCTTTTATTTGTACATACTGCCTTGCAAATTACTCTATATATATTTTAATTTTTTCACTTTTATTCTATATACTTTTTTCTATTCTTTTTTTTTTTTTTACTACTACAGTGAAGTACCTGTGACCAAGGGAAAATTACTCTACATTTATAGGTGAATTTTTCCTCCCTGAGGATAAATAGCTTTCATTAGATTCTCATGATGAACCTGAGAGTGCTAAAAGGTTTAAAACCTGTTGTCCTGGAACAATGTATCCACCTTTTCCTATTATTTCATTACGGCAAAGGCTGCTTCTGTTTTGGTTACCACTAAATACTCTATTAAATATAGTATATGCTTAACAAATGATTAGATAAATCAATAAACAAATGTTTATAATATTTACATAGGTGCCATCAGTGTTTTTAAATTTTTTCATTTTATTACTTACATAATGTTTACATTTGCCATGATGAACACTTATGATTGCTACATACTATTTTACTATTTTGATGGGACTATAGTTTATTGAATCAATTATGTTAGGTCATTTCCATTTGTGACAAAATTATATCAAATCATAATGATACTGATGTGGCTTATTTTTGAATTAGTGGGTATGTACCCAAAAGTTCTCACATTAAGAAAAATATATACCTACATGCCTCCCTGCCTTCTTACTAGAAAGGCACAGCTGCAAAGCAAAAGGAACACAGGCTTTAGAGTCAGACAAACTTGGTTTTGAATCCTAGCTATACCTTTTATGAATTAAATGGCCTTGGGCAAGTGATAAATTAGTTCCCTTCACACTTATCCCAGAACAAAGCTTTCAAATGGTATGTATACACAAGCATACAGAGATGCCATATACTCATCACTCAGCTTTCAGCTGGTAGTCTCAGCAGGAGTATACAAGCAGCCATTTAACCAGAGAGTCACCATGTAAAAGATGTTAACACTGCCTACAGGCAACTTCTAAAATCTGAACTCTATGAACTACCTGAAACTATGTGCAAAATTTTGTACATAGGTGCATTTTTTTTACCCTTTTAAGATAAATGGCTTTCATTAGATACTCAGAAAGAAGATGAGATTCCCTAAAAGGTTAAAAACTGCTGCCCTGGGCTGGGCATAGTGGCTCAAGCCTGTAACCCCAGCACTTCGGAAGGTTGAGGCAGGAGGATTGCTTGAGGCCAGGAGTTTGAAACTAGGCTGGGCAACACAGCAAGATCCTGTCTCTACATTAAAAAGCACACAAAACAAGGCCATGCGTGGTGGTGCACGCCTGTAATCCTAGCACTCTGGGAGGCCCAGGCTGGGCAGATTGCTCAAGGTCAGGAGTTCGAAACCAGCCTGAGCGAGACCCCGTCTCTACTAAAAGTAGAAAGAAATTAATTGGCCAACTAAAAATATATATACAAAAAATTAGCCAGACATGATGGTGCATGCCTGTAGTCCCAGCTACTTGGGAGGCTGAGGCAGTAGGATTGCTTGAGCCCAGGAGTTTGAGGTTGCTGTGAGCTAGGCTGATGCCACAGCACTCACTCTAACCTGGGCAACAAAGTGAGATTCTGTCTCAAAAAAAAAAAAAAAGAAAGAAAGCACACCAAAAAAACCCCAAACTATAGCCATTTCTTCCTGAACTCCCTCTTTTATTTGGGATTTTAAGCATGAAGAGCTTAAAATTGTATCTAAATTGATAAAATGCAGGAACTACTACTTTCCAGTATGCATGACAGGCTTCATTAATATGTCACTGGTATTATGAAGCAGAGGTGTTATTCTGTAAAAGTGTAGGTTTACTGCATGTACTATAACCTCATCTGGGAAATCCAATATCCTTTATTCAATTTTTTTGCAAATACTGAAAATGTATTTATTTCCCAAAAAGTAATGTCTAGAAGAATCCTTAAAAACTTGTCGAGGCCTAATGATCACGTATCCAAAGTCTCCCAAAATACTATGGATTAAAATTGTCATGAAAATAACAATTCGCACTACTATTTCTATACTTTACAGGCTATTAATATAATGGAATTGTTACTATTAATGGTATCTGGAAGAAAACAAATAACATAAACTAAGAAAGTGAATCTTTAAAGAATGGAAGTAAATATGTACTATTTCAAACAAGTATACATTGTACAACTTAAATTGAGAAACTTACATACCATAGTCACATTACTATCCAATTGCTGTGATTTCCAGTGACTTCTATGTTTGTTCACACTCTAGAGGAAGAAAGTTAGACAGTGTTCTTCAGAGAATGGGTAAACAAAAGAAATCAGTTTCTGCACAAATTCTAAGTATCTAAAAATTGGAAAATATGGGCTGGGTGAGATGGCTCATGCCTGTAATCCTAGCACTCTAGGAGGCCAAGGTGGAAGTACTGTTTGAGCTCAGGAGTTCGAGACCAGCCTGAGAAAGAGCGAGACCCTGTCTCTACTAAAAATAGAAAGAAATTAGCTGGACAACTAAAAATACATAGAAAAAATTAGTCGGGCATGGTGGTGCATGCCTGTAGTCCCAGCTACTTGGGAGGCTGAGGCAGAAGGATTGCTTGAGCCCAGGAGTTTGAGGTTGCTGTGAGCCAGGCTGATGTCACCGCACTCTAGCTCAGGCAACAGAGTGAGACTCTGTCTCAAAAAAAAAAAAGAAAAAAAAAACTTGGAAAATATGTTTCAAACTATATTATGTTTAATAATTTAGTAATTAATTTATGAAGATTCTGTATACTTCAGAACATAAATCTTATTTTTCCAGCTATATTCTCAGAACAGAAATAAATCTGACAGAGGCTTCATTTGACTAAATTTGACACTTACTTGTCGAACAGTTGAAAACTGTGCTACTTGTTGTTGCTGCCACTGAAGTGTTGGGGAATAACCTTCAGGGGCAGGTTGGCATCCTGAAAGCTAGAGATCAGTTCATGAATATTAGGATTAATGTTAGTGTCATAACTAGAATCTCATGCCTCTACAGAGTAAGAGTAAAACCAAGAAGAGTGAATAATTAAATAATTGACTATTCAAGAAAAATAAACACTTTACTATTTATGTCCTAGTTAAAATGGTTAGGAAAAGATCCTTAGTTGCTTCAATAAGAGAAATCTGGAATGGTTTATAGTTGAGAGTTTCTAAGAAATCTAAATGACATGAGCCCTGAAGATATTAATATAATCTAGTTCTATCTTTCTATAACAGCAAAACAGAAACAAAAGGAGAGATAAACCCCAAATAAAGAACTTTGGTATGAAATACAGTTAAGACACAATAATAAGTTCTAGAATTTAATAGCACAATAGGGTAACTACAGTTAACAATAATTTGTTGTATATTTCAAAATAGCTAGAAGATTTGAAATGTTTCCCACACAAAGAAATGATAAATGTTTGAGGTGATGGATATCCTAATTACCCTGATTTGATCATTACACATTGAAGTGTGTGATGAACACACCTTTCATATGCAGGTCTAAAAATATCACACTCACCCAATAAATATGTACAATTACTATGTATCAATGAAATATAAAAAAAGAATTTTGGTATGGGCAAAATGTACTCAAATAACTTGAAGACATTTGACTTTATTTTTATTTATTTATTTATTTACATATTTATTTATGAGATAGGATCTTCCTGTGTTGCCCAGGCTGCTTTCAAACTCCTGGCTTCAAGCTATCCTCTTGCCTCAGCCTCCTGAATCTGCTGGGATTATAAGCACAAACCTGTAATCTAAAATGGCATATAATTCACAACTAATCACACATTGCCTTGAAATAGAATTTAGTGGGATCACTTTTTAAAGTTTGGTAAACGGGGTAGAGTGGTTCACATCTGTAATCCCAGTTACTCTGGAGGCCAAGATGAGAGGATTGCTTCAGGCCAGGAGTTAAACAACAGCCTGTTAACATAGTGAGACCCCCATCTTTAAAAAAAAAGAAACAAACAAAGAAAACTAAGCCAGGGTGGTGGCACACACTTGTATTCCCAGCTACTTCGGAGGCTGAAGCAGGAAGACCACTTGAGCCTAAGAGTTCTAGGCTGCAGTGAGCTAAGATAATGCCACTGTACCCCAACCTGGGTAACTCAGTGAGATACTGCCTCAGGGAAAAAAAAATTAGATATGTAAGACATATTCCATCAACTAAAAACTTCTAAAAAGGAATTATATGAAACATTATAGTGTCTGAATTAAAATTTCCTTATTATAAATATCAGATAAAAAAATCAGAACATAAAAAGGAAATTATCAAAATTTTAAAAATGTCACTCTCCTTTGACCTTAAGTTAAATAGTACTTCCTCAGACAGACCTGTGATTATCTACAGTAGTTTTGTTATTTATTGACCATTATATATGTTTATTTTCTTTTTGGCAATAGTCACAATATATATTTGTTTGTTTACTGTCTTCCTCTGGAGTGTGTAAATTCTACAAGGGTAGGGATCTTCTCTGTTTTATCCTCTGTTTTATTTCCAGTGCCTGGCACAACCTAGTGGCTTAATAAAAAATGTGCTTAACCCAGGCTTGGTGGCTCATGCCTATAATCCCACAACTTTGAGAAGATGAGGCAGGAGGATCGCTTCAGGCCAGGAGTTCAAGACCAGCTTAGGCAACATAGCAAGACCTCATCTCTACAAATAAATAAATAAAATTTAACAATTAGCCAGGCGTACCTACAGGTAGCAGGTACCTGTAGTCCCAGCTATTTTAAGTTGACTGATGAGTAGTAACCCCACAAAAAAAGTGCTGGATAAATAAATGAATGAGTGTCCCCAGTGTGCAAGCAACTAGAAACACATGACATTTGGGCTTCTATTCTTAAAAAAAAAAAGGAAAAAAAAGGCCGGGCGTGGTGGCTCATGCCTTTAATTATAGTATTCTGGGAGGCGGAGGCGGTAGGGAGGATCATTTGAGCTCAGGAGTTTGAGTCCAGCCTGAGTAAGAGAGAGCCAGTCTCTACTAAAAATAGAAAGAAATTAGCTAGACAACTAAAAATATATGGAAAAAATTAGCCAGGCATGGTGGTGCATGCCTATAGTCCCAGCTGCTCGGGAGGCTGAGGCAGGAGGATCGCTTGAGCCCAAGAGCTTCAGGTTGCCATGAGCTAGGATGACGTCACGGCACTCTAACCTGGACAACAGAGTGAGACTCTGTCTCAGAAAAAAAAAAAAAAGGAAACTTGGTCAAATTCAGAACATGCAAAGTACACCAAATTAGACTAAATTCCAGTCTGATAATTATGAAGACAGAACCAGAACGAGTTTCCTTAAAAAATAAAGGATAGCATTAAGTAACCTAAAGACATCTTTAGGTTTGGATTATGTCTCTAAGTAAGATGGGCACGTATCTGCAAATGCTAGGGTTATGGAAAGCCTCTTCATTGACAGTAAATGCCAAACGACCTTCTGGAGGAAAAGTACAAACGAATGGATAACTTTTTGGGAGTAGTCAAATCTTACCTACATCATAATTGACACTGTTGGATACTATAGGAAGAGCCTTAGTCTTTTAATTTTGGGGGAGGGGCAGGTCTCTGGACGGTTGATAAAACTCACAGAAATATTGACACTTTGCTTCCTTTTCAACTTCTTTGGGTCAATTTGAGCTACCACAACATCTGGACATTGAGCTGCTTCGATCCTATAAATAAGTGATAAAGGCAAATTTAATTAATATTGTGCTTTGCTCAGGTGTAAAACAAGCAACCCATTTCTACAGTTGTAAAATCAGGGAAAAATTCAGACTTCCAATTTAAATTCTAAACAATATATTTCTGATATTGTCTGGGTTGAAAGCAAAGAAATCTACCAGCACACATCTTGATACATGCAATCAAGTTCGAAAGAAACTAGCCCACGTTAGGATGTAATCTAGGGATCTCGAGCAGGTCCGAATTCGCGACAGGATAGGACAAGAATAGAGGCGGGGCTTTATCGCACACAGGGGTAGAGCAGGGCACCAGACGCTGTGCCCAGGGGCAGGGCGGACGACCAGCCCACCCGCACAGGGCAAAATCACTCACTGGACCCGCCTCAGGTATTCCTGAGGTGTCCTCGGAGGTACTGAGGGATCGAAAGCTTCCGTCAAGTCACAGGGTTCCACCGGCAGCAGCCGGGGCATCAACTCTTCCACTGCAGACTCTGCTGGTACCCACGCCATGCTTTTTCAATACGGCCAGTCCCTCCCGGCGCATGCGCTTAGATAAGGTCACGGCGCAGGCGCACAAGTGGGCACCTTTGGTGAGGCGCAGAGCCGGCTGCGGGGTTTAGGAAACGTAACTGCGCATGAGCAAACTACTGCTTGCCCAAGGTGAGGATTCCGGTGGTTGCAATAAAGCCTGGGCGAGATAAATTCGTGGCGTAAAAGGTTCTAAAGAGTTTCTTGGCCGGGCCCGCCTGTAATCCTAGCACTCTGGGAGGCTGAGGCGGGCGGATTGCTCGAGGTCAGGAGTTCGAAACCAGCCTGAGCAAGAGTGAGACCCGGTCTCTACTATAAATAGAAAGAAATTAATTGACCAACTAATATATGTAGAAAAAATTACCCAGGCATGGTGGTACATGCATGTAGTCCCAGCTACTTGGCAGGCTGAGGCAGTAGGATTGCCTCAGCAATTGCAAGGATTGCCCCAGTAGGATTGGGAGTTTGAGGTTGCTGTGAGCTAGGCTGACGCCAAGGCACTCACTCTAGCCTGGGCAACAAAGCCAGACTGTCTCAAAAAAAAAGTGTTTCTGGATTTTTTACACTCTTCTAAAGCTAGGGTAAAGATTAACTTTTATGCATCCCTAGTAGTGATGGATCCTTAAATGTTTTTTTGAATTAATGAACATTTGTACTGTAATTATTCTTGGAGCTCTACATTCTTAAACCATTGGTAAACACGTCACATACATTTCCTTATTTAATTCTTAGAATAACTCTGTGAAGTATGTGGTAATATATCAGTTTTTTAGGGGAGGAAATCGACGTAAAGTGGAAATAAGTACTAGGAAAGCGACTTCTCCCAAAAAAGAAGAGCCAATTTCAATCCAGATTTATCTGATGCCAGATGAACGAAAAATTAATTTTCCACAGGAATTTCTTGTACTTGGGTACTTCAAAGGTCACTGTATGTTTATTTGAAAAGAAACTGCTCCTAGGGTAGCCAGCATTTTTCTTTCTCTCTCTCTCTCTTTTTTTTTTTTTAAGAAAAATCTCTTTGCTTAAATATGAATAGTGCAAAGGATAAAGCTAATGCCAACACCCAAAAAATTGCCAGTATTAATGTTAGGTTAATCTTGTGAGGTAGATAAAATTGTCTCCATTTTACAGGTGAAGAAACAGGCAAGAATGGGTTAAGTAACTAGGGCTAGGTCACAAAGTACAAGGAACAATGGAAGTATTATATCTGTTTTTTCCTAAACAAATACAGTTGAGTGAATATAATTGACCTTTACTTTTTTTTTGAGCACTGCCTTTAGCTTGCAAGGAATTGATTTCAAACCAGGATGTTTTCTCTTAATTGAAGATAAAGTGAGGATAGTCCTTTGCTTAAGAAGTAAGGAATTAGTGCTTAGGAATTTTAACTAAACAGTTGGGAGACTTGGAAAGGCACCACCTGGCTGCAGTCAAACTGGAAAGTTACTTGGTTAAAATTTTTTCACTGATTTTGGGAAAAACAGAAGAAATATGGCGAAATTGTTCGTTCCCCAACATTTTGTTGATAATCAAGAACAAATTTGAAAAAGTAGGCAGTGACTTCATTTCTGGATTTTCTTACAAATATATTTTTTTAAAAACTAAATTATTAGCAATTACCTCCCATTTTTCTGGAGAAAAGAACAGGTGATTACCTTGCAGACCAACCACCCACCAATGGAACAATGCTTAACAGTGGACGCTGTAAGTACGTGTCAGGACTACATATGAATCCAGGAAGAAAGGAGAGGTATAGATGAATAGAAGGAAGGTTGTCCTGGGAAATAACAATAAATTATTTTCCAAAAAAAGAGGTAAGTAATAAAGCATACGAATGATCTGAAATTTTAATTACACAGCAATGAGTATTCAGGAGAGAGGAAAGTAAATTAAGTAAAGGCTTATAGAGGTAGTTTTCTGCTACTTCAAATCTTTGTTTTTTTAGAGATGGGGGGCGTCTCCCTTTTGCTCAGGCTGGTCTTGAACTCGAGCTCAAGGAGCTCAAGCAATCCTCCTGCCTCAGCCTCCCAGAGTGTTAGGATTATAGGCATGAGCCACCATGCTGGGCCTTCAGCTACTTCAAATCTAATCTGATTTAAAGGAATTACTAACGAGATTTGAAGATTTTTAATGATTATAAATCAGTGGCACTCTAGCCCAGGCAGGAGAGTGAGACTCCGTCTCAAAAAAAAAAAAAGAAGAGAACTTTGGTAGGTGAGATCCATGTTTAAATAGCTTTCCCCCTGAAAAAATCCCCCCAGTCTTCATGATGTAGGTTGACTAGAAATCAAACAGAAAGCCACGGTTGTTTAGGTTGAGATACCAGAAAATGGAACTTGGGCTGCCATAGCATCTGGAAATTGAGAGGAAAGATTCTGGAAATAAGGGAGCCACAGAGGAGAAGCCCCAAAATCTGTACTTAAACTCTTCTCAAGTTCTTGGTTGACCGCTGAATTACACATGCAGGGGACTCCAAGAATCCTAGTAGAAAGCAACAGCTGGGGGCTGAAGAAACTGAGCAGACATTTCATCTGCTGTCCACCTCAGCAGAGATGGTTTGGAGTTTGAGACTACCTTGTAGATAAAGGTAGAGGGGCTTCATAAACACCCCAGGCTTTTCACTGAAATCTCAGAAGGGCCACACACCTTAGGAGCAAACTATATCCAATTTCCTTTTTAAAGGAAAACTGAAACAGATTCATCCTAATAAAGTGTTAAACCAAACTTCCACAAGGTGTTCATTTAAAAAGTAAGTCAGAAATTGCAGCAGGTATTTTTGAATATTTCAGTGAGATATGGAGCACCTGAGAATAAGTTGTATTGGTTGATGAAATTATTCTGAAAAAAAATGCTTAATTTTTGGAAAGGAACTCTTAAAACTATAAAAACCTTTTCATCTAACTTCTTCCCAAGAAGAAGTTAGTCCTGGGGTACTGAACTATTTCTGGTGCCCTAGTTTATGATGGAAAAATTATTTCAATATTTCTTACATTGGTTGTTGACTGTAGCAGTTGTATGAGGGTTCTGAGAACAAAATACTGCTGAATGTTTATTGATGATGTGGCTGTTTATCGGTGATGGTGGCTTCTTTTAAGTCAACCTTATGAAGCTAACTGCAAAAGTTGTCTCTGTTTTCTATCCCTTTAAGCACTTCAGTTACTCTCAAATGTTAGTATGTATAAGAATCATCTGGAAGAAATTATTTATTTATTTATTTATTTTTTGAGACAGAGTCTCGCTTTGTTGCCCAGGCTAGAGTGAGTGCCATGGTGTCAGCCTAGCTCACAGCAACCTCAAACTCCTGGGTTCAAGCAATCCTGCTGCCTCAGCCTCCCGAGTAGCTGGGACTACAGGCATGTGCCACCATGCCCGGCTAATTTTATTTTCTATATATATTAGCTGGCCAATTAATTTCTTTCTATTTATAGTAGAGACAGGATCTCACTCTTGCTCAGGCTGGTTTTGAACTCCTGACCTGGCTGGAGGAATCTGCCCACCTTGGTCTCCCAGAGTGCTAGGATTACAGGCGTGAGCCACCACACCGGACTGGAAGAAATTATTTAAAATGCAGAGTCCTAGGTCCTATACCTCTTTTCTCCAGAGTTTCTATTTCTGTTGATTGGGGGTGGGGTTCAGAAATTGACGTTTTAAGAAGTATTCCAGGTGAGAAACATAGCTTAGCCCATTCATTTTATCCGTTTTCTCTCTATTTTTTAAGATCTGCAATAGAATTTCTTCTGTCTTATATTAGTTCTTTTTCCCTTGGCTACGATCTAAAGCTTCATTGGCTTTAAACTTTAACGAATTCAGTCATCAATTAATATTTATCAGTTTTCTACTATGTGCCAGGCACTATGGTAGGTATTGGGAGTTATAATAGTGAGCTTCTTCTCTCATAGTGCTTATAGTCTAGTGGACAGAGAAACATTTTAAACCTTAACTGTGATAAGTCATATTAAGGAAAGGTTCGAGGGAGAGAGCCTTGCAGTGTAAAAATAAATGAAGGCTGACTAAATGAGAGCAAGCAAAGTCTGTTTATTCACACCCTGCTATAGGAAGGGAGTAAGCCACCACCACTTATATTTTGGCAGAGATCAAAGGCAGGCAAAAGAGTGGGAAAGATTTATAGTGGAAAAAGAGAAGGCTTTAGATAATCCCTTATTGCAGGGTGTGGGCATGGGGAAGCTGTGGACAGGCTAACTAGGAGGGGGACCTCTAGTGGCATTGGTTAGACGTACATATTTGCCTCTCTGGTTGGTTCTGAGTTGGAAGTGGGACAAAAATTAGTAAAACTGCCAGTTATTAAGTCCTGGACATTTCATGCTAATTATTACAGGGGTAATTGCATGGCTTCCTGAATTGCTTGCTAAAGATAGCAGTTTGGCTTCTCAGACTGGTTACTGTAGATAATAGGTTGGTTTCCTGGGCAGGTTGCTACAGATTGTGGGTCAGAGTTTATGTGTGTGTGTTTACACATACATAAATAGATGCACACTCTTATATATATATGTATATGAACTGGCCCTTTGCATATTTAGTTTATCAGTAGATAGAGGAAAGTTTCTTCAATGCCTTGTTGTTGGAGGAAGCAGGTCCTGTTGGAAATTGGAAGGCCAGTACAGCTAATGCATACAGAGTAGGGAGTGAGTGTGCTGGACAGGGTTGTGAAGAATGTAACTAATGTAGGGATAAGGCAGAAAAGGAAGGTCAAGAGAGCCTTAATGCAGCGTATTTTGGCTGATACCAGACCCTAACCACCCTGAACAAGGAAGTCGCTAGTGTCGCCAGTGTGAGACCACCTGAGGATGAATGAATTACTAAGCCAGGTGCCTTACAAACTGTTTGCACTTACCTTTCTATGACAGCAGTTTATGATTCAAGATAATGCTGGTCACATACAGTTCCTAAAGGAGTTTTTGAACGTTTAAACATGTTACCAGGCCAGGCTCGGTGGCTTACACCTGTAATCCTAGCACTCTGGGTGGCCAAGGCAGGTGGATCGCTCAAGGTCAGCAGTTCGAAACCAGCATGAGCAAGAGCGAGACCCCGTGTCTACTAAAAAATAGAAAGAAATTAAATAGCCAACTAAAAGTATAGATTTCTGTGTGAATATCTTAATAAATATATATATATATAATTAGCCAGGCATGGTGGTGCATGCCTGTAGTCCCAGCTACTTGGGAGGCTGAGGCAGAAGGATCACTTGAGCCCAGGAATTTGTTGCTGCGAGCTAGGCTGATGCCACAGCACTCTAGCCCGGGCAACAGGGTGAGACTCTGTCTCAAAAAAAAAAAAAATTCTAATTCTTGTCCAAATAGCAATCATTTCTATTCCAGAGTGTCCCAACAGTAGTACAATCCAATACCTCTTTATTCTGCCACTCTAACCAATCTCATGATTAGTAAGAGTTCATTTAATCGAACTAAACAAATAAAATTCTTAGATTTGCTTAAATCATTTACAGTGGCCCAAAGGAACAAAACACAGTTATCTACCGGCAGGCCTTTTTTTTTCCTTTTATCTATTGTTTATTTGATTTGTAAAGAACATAATTATTTTAAAACCATATAACAAAGGAGGGAAATCCTACTCTAAAAGAAAGAAAGAAACCAGATTTGTATTTTTACTTTAGAAAGAGGAATAAAGTTTTTGTTTTGTGTTCAATTATTAAAGTAGACCTTACCTTGATTTTCTGACATCAAGTCAGCTTGCTAGCCCTCTTTGTGGATCTGTACCCCAGAGCTTGAAGACAGCATTCTCAGACAGAAGAGATTACTCATGCCCAGAGGGCATGTACTAAGACTAGGAACCAAACCAAATCTCTCTGAATCAATCTTCATTGTCTCTGTAATTTATGACCATCTGGTCATAACGGCTCACAAGAACCTTCCCTTGGGCTTGTTTTTGGTTTTGGGGCGTTTGGTACTTATTTTTATGAATTCCATCTAGTGCAGCATAGTGATTTAGAGCAATAGCTTGGCACCCAAGATACAGTCTCAACTCCATTACTTCCTAGTTGGGTGATCTGGGTATGTTACATCACCTTTTCTGAACCACAGTTTCTTCACCTGCAAATGAAGCTAACAATAGTACCTTCCACTTCAGATAATTATTGTGAGAATTAAATTAGATAATCTAACAAATTTAGCTCTGAGAAAAAGAAAGCCATAAGGCAGAAATTGGCCTGGGTCTTTCTTTTGTTTCCACCCACTCACTCACTCAACCACTCTTTCTCTGGCCTGGCTCCTTTTTTGGGATGGGGGGTATGAGGTGTGGAGTGTGGGGATCTAGTCTACCCCAGCTAGCCTGTGCTAGGAAACTTTTTAAGTAGGTTCTTTGGTGAGAGCTATCCCTCTATCTCATTTTGCTTATTGATGCCCTTAAACAATTTACAGGAAAAAAGAAAATCTCATAGTGGAAACATTTAGATATTGTCTAGTTCAACCTCCAACTGTATTGACAATTGCACCGAGTGAAGTCCCTTACCTGTTTACATACCTCCTCTGCCAAGAAGCTCATTGCCTCCCAAGACAGCCCATTTCATTCTTGGTTAGCAGTCCCTGTGAGCAACTTTTTCTTCCCAGTGAGCTAAAACTACCTCCCATTGACTCTCATCTTTGTTTCCTGTCTCACCCTGGTCAGCTCTGCTGCAGGGCCATATAACAGGCTACTTGCCTCCACCCTTGAGTCTTGGAGACAATGACCTTGTACCCCTGTGTCTTTCTCTTCTCCAGGCTGTGGTCTAGAGCCTTTAGAGTAGAGAGGGACAGTCACCTCCCCAGTTAGACCTCAACTAATACGACCTAACCTCTAGTCACACAGTCTCACATTAAAACAAGAAGTTCCACCCAGGGGATTTTTACACTGCTGTTGCTAAGCAACATCCCACTCTCTGCTTGCACTGGGGCAGCTTAAACACAGAATTTTATAGATCAGAGTTATGGGTTCATAAAACAAAAGTTTAGGGTTATGCTATAATAGATACCTTAGGGGAAAAAAAGGATAAGTTTATGGTTTTGGCTTTAGACAAAATCTGACCCAGCAACTCAAATGACGTCACTAAGGACCCTGTTTCTACTGATGTTGTCTTGAGGCTCTATCCCTAGACCCCAGTATCTCCAGATGATCCCTGCAGAGTCACAAAATGACTATCACACTTCCCAGCCTTGTTCCAACCCAACCCCCAGCTGTGAGCTAAGGGAGGGAACAAGGGAGGAAGCTTCTCATAGCCTGCCTCTAACACCTGGGCCTAGCTGTTGTTAGGCACTGCCAGCACTTGTAGCCAGGCCGTATTTCTCTTATATTGAACATAAACCATTTCACAGAATATCAACATCAGAGAAGGCCATTCAGTGACCCTGAAGGATCAAGACAAAAACAATACCACTCTGCAATCATGTTTAACTCAGACAAAAACAAGAAGATTGTCCAAACCACAAAATGATCAAATATTCCCATCCTTCCTAATATAAGTGACTGCTGCTTCTTTACCAATTATACCATTAGTGTCCCTTCATCCTTCTAGATAAGAATTAAGACACCTAATCATAGAATTAGTCAAGTGCTCAGATGAGCTGGATTTAGAGCTGAGCTGCCAGGTACAGGAATAGCCAATTGAAGCAAAATTGAGCCAAAATAGGAATAACAGCAAAGGCTTTAATCACTTACTGTGATTGTATAAGCAAGAATCTAAACTTCCGTGATTGTATAAGCAAGAATCTAAGCTTAGAGATAGCACTGACACATACACAACCCCCACCTTCCATTTACCTCTATGGAATGGCGGTGAGGTACTAAGTCAGAGTGGGGAAGTTTCCTGATAAGATCTCCAAATGAAGGCACCTGGACTAGAAATGCAGCTATGCAAAAGTGCATGGGGGTGGAGGGACACACCAAGTCCCTGACTGCAATCCCTTCAGAGACTGCAATGTACTGGCTGTGCTCCCCAGTCTCATGTGTGGCCTGCCAGGTAAAGCTTTCATGATTGCCTATAGTCAGGCCTGAAAAATTTAACCAGGAGCTAGACTCCTCAGAATTATGCCCATTTCCCAACAGCAAAGCTCCACTTTCCCCAAATCACCTAACAAGTCCTAAATCCTATGACAAATAAGTTAGTTCTAACACTTTCTTACTGAAACATTCCCCAGTTCCCCATCATGCAACTACAGGAGAGTTCCAGTGGTTTTTGGAAGGCAGCTAAGCCCACCACTGTACCACCAACGCTGCTCATCCAGTGGTTTTTGGTTGGAGGGCATCAATAACCCCCTGACACAGTAACAGGATGCTCCATAAATATTAACTATATGAATATACTTAGGGATAACGCAGGTGGTGTCCCGATGAAGGGAGGATGGCCCCCTGAACCAAGTGAGTTCTTGGCTTTGTGCTAGACGGAATTCAAGAGCAAGCCAACTATCGACAGAAAGTTTGAGAGACAGACAGACAAAAGATCCTACTCCATAGGGAGACTAGGGGTCCTTCCCTGAGCAGGAAGGGGCCCCCTTTGGGGCAATGGTAACATTTTTGTGTGTGTGTGTGTGTGAGTCAGAGTCTCACTCTGTTGCCCAGGCTAGAGTGCCGTGGCATCAGCCTAGCTCACAGCAACCTCAAACTCCTGGGCTCAGGCGATCCTCCTGCCTCAGTCTCCCAAGTAGCTGGGACTACAGGCATGCGCCACCATGCCCGGCTAATTTTTTCTATTTTTTAGTAAAGACAGGGTCTTGCTCTTGCTCAGGCTGGTCTGGAACTCCACCTATAATGTAGGTTTTAAATGAGTGTCTTGGGTATGACCTTGGGTGTGCCGCTTAACCATTCTTCTTCTCGTTCATTTGTCATGCATAGGCATTAGACTAAATGATCACTAAAGTCTATTTGAGTTTAGAAGTCTATAATTTTCTTTTATTTAATAATAGAGACAGGGTCTTGCTCTGTCACCCAGGCTGAGTGCAGTGGCACAGTCATAGCTCACTGAGGCTTCGAAATCCTGGGCTCAGGAGATCCTCCTGCCTCACTGCGGAGTTGAAGGGATTACAGGTATGAGCCACCACACCCAGTTAGAATTCAATAATTTTATCTCTTTTTTTTTTAATTTGTGTTTTATTTGTATATATTCACAGGGTACAAGTACAATTTTGCTACATTGATATATTGCATTGTGGTGAAGTCATGGCCTTATTGCATCCATCACTGGAGCAACACACATTTTCACCTGTGATTTATTTATGACCCTTATTTATGATTTTTTTTTTTTTTTTTTTTTTTTTTTTTTTTTTTGAGACAGAGTCTCGCTTTGTTGTCCAGGCTAGAGTGAGTGCCGTGGCGTCAGCCTAGCTCACAGCAACCTCAAACTCCTGGGCTTGAGTGATCCTTCTGCCTCAGCCTCCCGAGTAGCTGGGACTACAGGCATGCGCCACCATGCCCGGCTAATTTTTATATATATATCAGTTGGCCAATTAATTTCTTTCTATTTATAGTAGAGACGGGGTCTCGCTCTTGCTCAGGCTGGTTTTGAACTCCTGACCTTGAGCAATCCGCCGGCCTCGGCCTCCCAAGAGCTAGGATTACAGGCGTGAGCCACAGCGCCCGGCCCCCTTATTTATGATTATATTTATTTTTTTCTTTTTCTTTTTTTTAATATTTAATTTTATTTATTTAAAAAAAATTTTTTTACTTTTTTCCTAAATGTAAGAACATGTTCTGTAATATATGATTATATTTAATGGAATCATAGTTGATAACCCAAAATAAGTTCACTGAGGCAAAGCTCTCAATGAATAGATTGTTTATTAAGCCAAAGTTTGTGGGTGTGCCCACAAAAACCACAAGCCACAGATGTATCTGTGACTGTTTTTTCTGACCAGGGATTTGAGAACTTCAGTAAATAAGGAGGAAAGAGCACACAGAAAGAAAACAGAGGAGGTGGCTGGGTAGTGAGGCCCAGGAAATCTACATTTTACATAAGGTGAGGTGAATGTTTGGAGAGAAAAAGAGAGTAAAGGAAGAATCAACTATGCACATGTCCCTGGGTAAGTAGAAGAATGGCTGATAGTATCTTATCTCTGTTCTGCACCTGGGAGGATAAATTTGTAATCAGAATTATTTGTGTAGAATCAAACATGCTTTAGTTTTTGGAGCTAGACTTAGCCTGTAGACCTAAAAGTACAATTTGCATGTCCTTGTTTATGGGAGGCCTGCCAGGAATTTCCTTATGAATGTGTGGAAGCAGTCCTTATAGATGCCTGAGGTTTTTTACCTTTTTGTAGCCATCTGGCTAATACATAATGTTAATAACGGCTAGTCATTTGGAAGAGGATGTTGCATGGCTCAGCCTCCAGGCTTAAACTTCCCTTTTGCAAAAGGAGTTGTGGAGGGATCTTGAGATTTTTAGTTTCCTTTACATACTCATGAGTTCAGACTAGAACACCAGAGAGATGTTATCCCATATATATTAACTTGACACAGAAAATTTAAAATTAGAAGAATCTGAGTATTGCTTTTTCTACTTACTACTCCAAAAATAGTTGGCCACTGCCTTATTCTGTCACCATCTGAGCAAATGGAAGAGAATCCGTGTTAGAAAAAACTGCAAATGCTTCATTAATACTAGAAAACACAGTAAGCCTCGAAAGAAAAAGTAGAGGTTAAAGCTCCACCTGGTGGTTAACATATCAAATTCCAAGTTGACATCTTACTTCACCTAACTGTGTAGTTAGTACCAGAATCTCTAGAAACATATATGGGTTCTGAAGTAGGAAGGAAATCACTGGCTGTTATGTATTAACTAATATTTAAGGCAATTAATGGTGGAAGACAAAGTCTTTCGCAGGATGTTTAGAATACTTGCCCCAACATAGTCCCTGGAGAAAAAGTTCCAAGGTTTAATATCTTTGAGAAATGATCTTAAATTCCATCTTGCAGATTCACAATGAGTATTGTCATATTAAAACCCCTGACAAGTCTAGAGACCAATTTTACATAATTTAACTTAGTGTTTTCTGACTTTATTTGACCATAGAACCTTTCCCTCTCTCTCTTTTTAATGTATGGTGTTTTGAGAAATGCCAGTTTGAGGAAATAATGATATTAAGGGCATTGGCTTTAAAAAAGACTTTTTGGGCCAGGCATGGTGGCTCATGCCGGTAATCCCAGCACTTTAGAAAGCTGAGGCCGGAGGATTGCTTAAGGCCAGGAGTTGGAGACCAGCCTGGGCAACATAGCAAGACCTCATCTGTACAAAAATTTAAAAAAACTAGCTAGGTGTGGTGGTGTGTGCCTGTAGTCCCAGCTACTTGGGAGGCTGAGGCAGGAGGATCCCTTGAGCCCAGGAATTTGAGGCTATAGTAAACTATTATTGTGCCACTGTACTGATGGATGACAGACCAAGGACCTGGTGGCTCTGGAGCAGGGGGTAACTGAGAAAAAAGTAAAAAAGACTTTCATTTTTGAAGGGTGTTACTGTCAGAATTTATATATATATTCTTTTCTTTTTTTTATTTTATTCTTTCTTTCATGGATAACATGGAACTTCATAAATTTATATTTTTGCAATCAATCTTTTAATATATTAACAATGATGATGGTGATCTAATAAAATAATACTTAATATTTCTTAGGATTTTTTTCCTTCTTTTATTTTTTTGAGACAAAAACAAAAAAAAAGCCTCTATTGCCCAGGCTAGAATGCAGTGGTGTCATCATAGCTCACTGCAACCTCAAACTCCTGAGCTCAAGCGATCCTCCCTCCTTGGCATCCCAGAGTGCTAGGATTACAGGTGTGAGCCATTATGCCCAGCCCACTCTTTATTTAGGTCAGGCATCCTCAAACTACAGCCCGTGGGCCACATGCGGGTGTTTTTGCCCATTTGTTTTTTTTTTTTTTTTTGAGACAGAGTCTCGCTTTGTTGCCCAGGCTAGAGTGAGTGCCATGGCGTCAGCCTAGCTCACAGCAACCTCAAACTCCTGGGCTCGAGTGATCCTTCTGCCTCAGCCTCCCGGGAAGCTGGGACTACAGGCATGCGCCACCATGCCCGGCTAATTTTTTATATATATATCAGTTGGCCAATTAATTTCTTTCTATTTATAGTAGAGACGGGGTCTCGCTCTTGCTCAGGCTGGTTTTGAACTCCTGACCTTGAGCAATCCGCCCGCCTCGGCCTCCCAAGAGCTAGGATTACAGGCGTGAGCCACAGCGCCCGGCCTGCCCATTTGTTTTTTTACTGCAAAATAAGATATGTGTAGTACACATAGGAATTTGTTCATAGTTTTTTTTTAAACTATAGTCCGGCCCTCCAATGGTCTGAGGGACAGTGAACTGGCCCCCTGTTTAAAAAGTTTGAGGATCCCTGCTTTAGGTTCTTATGCTCATTCATGAATATTTAGGGAACAATCATTTTGTGATAGGACTTTCACAAAGTGTTGTAACTAAAAGCAAACAATTATGATCACTTCTGTGTTGGTAAATGTTTAACAGCAAATATCCTTCAGATTCACAGATTGGTCTCAAATGTATTGGTCCAAGGATGTCTATAGATTAAATTAGAAAGCAGAGAAGGTCGTTTTTGGAGATTCTCCCCTTTCTGTGATTCCTAGTTTGACTTTCCTTTTACAGGCACTCAAACTAATTTCCATTTTCTCTATGTTCTTACTCAGGTCAAAACCTTGTAACTCTCAGTATACCAGAAAAAATAGTCTTGACCATCTACCATCTTGGTCCAATGGACCCTTTAAAATTTTTATAGCTTTAAGTCATCTATCTAATGAATAATTTACACAAATTAAGGAATATTTAATATAACTGTTTTTAGAAAAATTAAAGGGATAGTAGGAAATGACTTTATTAGAAAGTTTAATAAGGATAGAAACATAGCAAACCCCAATTTTTATTCCATATTTTTTTGCTTTGTAAGATACAATATCTAAATGGGCAATGTCCTCTGAGCACAACTAACTGCTCATTTCCTGTCATGTATAAATCTAGAACATACTCATCTTGTAAACAGTGATTGCTGATTTCAAATACATTACTACTAGTTTCTAGCTGCTGCTTCTTTTTTTTGAGACATTGTCTCACTCTGTTGCCCAGGCCAGAGTGCGGTGGTATCAGCAACCTCAAATTCCTGGGCTCAAGCAATCCTACTGCCTCAGCCTCGCAAGTAGCTGGGATTACAGGCATGTGCCACCATGCCAAGCTAATTTTTTCTATATATATATTTATTTATTTGGAGACAGAGTCTCACTTTGTTGCCCTGGATAGAGTGCCGTGGGGTCAGCCTAGCTCACAGCAACCTCAAACTCCTGGGCTCAAGTGATCCTTCTACCTCAGCCTCCTGAGTAGCTGGGACTACAGGCATGTGCCACCATGCCCGGCTAATTTTTTCTACATATATTTGGTTGGCCAATTAATTTATTTCTATTTTTTAGTAGAGATGGGGTCTTGCTCTTGCTCAGGCTGGTTTTGGACTGCTGACCTCAAGCGATCCTCCTACCTTGGCCTCCCAGAGTGCTAGGATTACAGGCGTGAGCCATTGTGCCCGGCCCCTAGCTTTTTATTTCTGGTTTTTCCTGTACTTACATAATCAAAATATAAGACTTGAAGATTTTTTTCTTTTGATACAGGGTCTTCCTTTGTCGCCAGGCTGGAGTGCAGAGGCATGTCCATGGCTCACTATAGCCTGGAACTCCTGGGCTCAAGCTATCCTCCCACCTCAGCCTCTCAAGTAGATGGGACTACAGACACAAACCACAGTGCCTGGCTTCTCCCAAAATTCGTATTCTAACCTGTAAGGTGATGGTGTTAGTAGGTAGGGCCTTTGTAAGGTGATTAGGTCATGAGGACGGAGCCCTCATGAATGGGATTAGTGCTTTTATAAAAGAAACCCCAGAGAGCTAGCTAGCCCCTTCCACCATGTGAGAACAAAGCTATAAATCAGCATCTGTGAACTAGAAAGTGGGTTCTCATCAGACACCAAATCTGCTGGCATCTTGATCTGTGATCCTCTGGAACACTAATAAATACATTTCTGTTGTGTATACACCACCCTGTTGATGGTATTTTGTTGTAGCATCCTCAAAGTCCTAAGACATGTATCTTTTTACCTTACTCATTCTTAGTTTTTGTTTTTTTCTGTGTGTTCTTATTCCTTCTATATAACATTGCCCCTGCTGTTTACATGCTGCACTCGGTTAAGAATCCTTATTCCCTTTCCACCCCCAACCTGCAATTCTTCTTAAGGTAATACCCTGAACCCACTTTATTTGGAGGCCTTTACTGAATCTTGGCTTTTGATTCCTGTTCCCTCTTCAGGATTGTATTAAAATTTGACAGGCAAACTCATCCTTTTCCACCTTCCAAAACAACCTTAGCATATATTAATACATTATATTATTAATAGAAAGGAAAATGATGTTTGGTGCTATCTTATTTTTCATGAACTTAAATAAGCTTTGAAGAACACGTATTTGATATTTTTTTCTATTCCATAAATTGCTGATAGGGCTAAGATTTGCAGGATTTTAGGTGTTGTCATATCTGGAATTAATTCCATGAGCAGCCCTCACTGAAGGATGAATTTGCCTGAGACCACCACCTCGAATGTCTTTCCACCTGTTGCTGTTTCATTTTGCTCAGTTATTTTCTTGGAAAGAGAAGCACATCAAGATTAACTGGCCAAAAATTGTGTGTGTAGCAGATGAGGGTTGGTGGAGTTCGGGTGGCAGAAGCAACATAGGAGGAAAACAGGTAGATTGATTAGGAATACATAAATAGTATTTAAATTCTTTAAGGCCGGGGATCTTGGCCTATTTTGCTTACATCATATCACCAGCATGTCAACTGTGTCTGGCACATAGTAAATGTTCAGTAAATATTTGTTGCACTAAATGAAAGAACAAATTTCTCACTTTGTTTTTCAGAGATGTGGTTTGTGATTCTCGGAATCAACTAGGGCCCTAGAGAAGACGTCCTGGGAGGACGCCTCCATTTCTCTTGGGGAGCTGAGGTGTCAACAATAGTTCTTCACGTTTTCTGCGACCTGTAGGGAGTAGGATCCGCAGTGGCTCCCGGGAGATGGCTTTACCCGGTCCCACTCTCCCAGGCCAGCTCGGCCGGGGACCCGCCCCCGGACGGGTTGTCCCCGCCCTTCCTCCCCTCCCGCACCTCTGGCTTTGTCCCCCGCCTCACGTCCCCCCACCGCCCCGCCCAGCTCCCGGATCCTCCCTTAAGCGCCGTGGCCCGTCGCCCCGCCCCCAGCTCTGTCCCCGCCCCTCTTCCCCTCACGCCCCGCCCCTTCCCTTCCTCCGTTCCCCTCTCCAGCATCCCCCGCCCCTTCCTCCCCTACGCCCCGCCCTTCCCCCCTCCCCTTGACGTGGCAGAGGCGGACCAGCCATGTTGGCCGGGCCGAGGTCTTTGCAGAGGCCGGGGGCGGGGCGGGGCCGGCCCTGATTTCGGTGCCACGGGCTGCTCCTGCTGGCGGAGGAGACTGATTTTGTGAGGCGGAGGCTGCGACAGGCTCAATTCTTGAGGAGGCACTGAGGTAAGGGTCGACTTCAGGGCCGACTCCCCTTGCCCCCGGAGGGGCTCGGGCGCTCAGCGGGAAACCGGGGCGGGGTGGCGGCGGTGGGCTGGCGGCCGCGGTCTCGGGGTGACCCTGGCTCTGCCCCCTCGGTTCCCCGGAGCGGGCGAGGCGCTCCGGCTCCGGAGGCTGCGGCCCGGTGCGTTCCGGCGGGGGAAACGTTGAGCACTGAACATGTCACCCTTTCACCGACCTCCGCTTCGCTCTCTCGGAGGCTTGGGGGCCCGGCCCCCTCATCCGGCGCTCCTGGATTCTGTGGAGAGATGGAAGCTGGGTGAAAAACAGGCAATTCGAGCGTCTCGCCCTGCACCCACCCGGCCTCCTGGGCGACCAGTCTTCTCCACCCCAGCCCATCTTCTCTTCTGGGGAATTGGGCTTCTTGGTCCACTCCTTGCATAATCTGGCGTGTCCTAGACTTTGAACCGAGGTGATTTGTCACCCGTAATTCGGACTTGGGAGTTAAGGGGGTTAAAGATAAAAGTGCTAGGTAAAGCTAATTCCTTGGGCCTTGGTTACAAATAGAAAGTTTTCAGACAGGACCAATCAATCCTATCTAGAATTTTCCCGTTTTGGTGGGAAAGGTACTTAAGTAAAGTCTTAATATACAGGTAATCAATGGAGCGGGGTTGTTGAGCTCACGTTTTCACGTGAAAATTCCTCGTCCTCTACCCTCTACCATGAATAACTAGCCAAGTTAACGTGGCAGAAGAAGTTTTAGATTTGAATATAAAATGCACATTAAGTCTTCCTTCTCTCTTCTCCAGTAGTGTAATTATCATCATTTTGGAAGTCTAACCATTTTTAAATTGACACACAGAATTTTAGAGTTAGATAGGAGTTTTCTTGCAGTTTTCTGGTTCAAATCTCTCAGTTTACTGGTGGGATCGGAAAGGTAAACTGTCCAAGATCATAAAGCTAGTCGTCAGAAGTAGCTGAAGAGGGTTCATCGAGGATTTTACAGCTGAAAAGTAGGAGAGGCAAGTTTGTTTAGTAACAAATAGACCTGATTGGAAGGAACTCAAGTTTTACTTGCAATTTTGTATGCTTTTCAATTAGATAATGTATAAGAGGGCGAAAATTAAAATATTGAAAAACAGTTACACTATGGGCACGAATTTGATATACTAGATTAAAGTGACATAATGCTTTGCTTCTTCGCTATTAGTTTTATCATGAGAAATTATTTAAAGTAGTTCCTTGAAAAAGTAGTTGTCATAGATTACAAATTGTACTGAAAAAATGGGACATTTCTTTAGAATGTTTTTTTGTATTTTAAAAAAATAAAGACTGGTATGTAAAGTCTGCATTCTAATATAGTGTGAATAATGTTTATTTGGTTTGACGCTTTTATGTAAATATATGTTAATATTAGGGGGAGAGTACTTGTCAAATAATACCATTTTATGTAAAGCTAATTTGTAAAAGGACTTTTTTCAGATATGCAATTATTAGACATGGGACCACACCTGGCTAATTTTGTACTCAGATTAGTGATTTTAAGATTGCACAATTCCAACTTTGGAAAGGTGAAGTCAGAGAGATGTTGTTCATGGCCATGTAATTGGACCAATGAAGAAGAAACTTTCTTCAAAATACTGCTGGAAAGTGAGAATGTAAGAAATATAATGGATGTGATTTAGCAAGCAAATATGATCTTAGAGCAGAGAGATTGAGAGAAAAAAGTGTGAGGAAGAGGAGGAGAATTTTGCTAGAATGTCACTCAGATGATATTTAGTATGTCTTAATAAAAAGTAAAGATATAGAGTTATAATCTAGCCTGTTACCTGTTGTAGAAACTTAAACCTGGCTGTTGCCTGTGCATGAATGTTTTCCTACTAAGACTCCTTGAACCTTTCTCTGTGAGGTTCTCTAATGGTTCTAAGGCAGTGGTTCTTAGAACATCAAAGGAAAACTGGCTTAAGAGAAGACAGGTAACTTTTCACATCTCCTTCTGCAGTCTATTGTTACATAATACATTGTTTTGGTTCAATTGTGTGAAGGAAATCTGGCCTCATATAGATAATGTAGTTGGAAATAGAAGAGCTATTTTAATAGCTTTTTTGGAAACTTTTGTATATTCTTTGATACTATACCAAAGTTGATAGAGTTTTAGTTAAGAAATTAAAAGTTAAGTGCAGTGTGGAATCTGAAGCCTTAGAAGCGAACTTTTTATACTCTTGTAACATTAAAACCCACGGGTCTATCCTGTACTTTTTTTTTTTTTTGAGAAGAGAGTCTTGCTCTGTTGCTTGGGTTAGAGTGGTATCAGCCTAACTCACAGGAACCTCATACTCCTGGGCTCAAGGGATCCTCCTGCCTCAGCCTCCCTGGTAGCTGGGACTATAGGCATGTGCCACCATGCCCAGCTAATTTTTTCTATTTTTAGTTATTTGGCTAATTTTTTTCTATTTTTAGTAGAGACAGGGTCTTGCTCTTGCTGAGGCTGGTCTCGAACTCCTGAGCTCAAGCAGTCTTCCCGCCTCAGCCTCACAGATTGCCACAATCTCTTTTTTTTTTTTTTTGAGACAGAGTCTCGCTTTGTTGCCCAGGCTAGAGTGAGTGCCGTGGCATCAGCCTAGCTCACAGCAACCTCAATCTCCTGGGCTCAAGCAATCCTCCTGTCTCAGCCTCCCGAGTAGCTGGGACTACAGGCATGAGCCACCATGCCCGGCTAATTTTTTGTATATATTTTTAGTTGGCCAATTAATTTCTTTCCATTTATAGTAGAGATGGGGTCTCGCTCTTGCTGAGGCTGATTTTGAACTCCTGACCTCGAGCAATCCTATGTTTTCTTTTTTTTTTTTAATTTGGCATATTATGGGGGTACAGAATCCAAGGTTTCAATAAATGCCTATTCCCCCCCCCCCGAGGTCTATGTTTTCTATATCAGCTTTTTTTTTTTGAGACAAAGTCTCACTCTGTTTGTTGCCCAGGCTAGAGTGCCATGGCATCAGCCTAGCTCATAGCAACCTCAGAGTCTTGGGCTCAAGTGATCCTTCTGCCTCAGCCTCCCGAGTAGCTGGGACTACAGGCACGCACCACCATGCCTGGCTAATTTTTTCTATATATTTTTAAGGCCAATTAATTTCTTTCTATTTTTGGTAGAGATGGGGTCTCGCTCTTGCTCAGGCTGGTCTCCTGAGCTCAAAGGATCCACCTGCCTCGGCCTCCCAGAGTGCCGATTACAGGCGTGAGCCACCACGCCTGGCCTGTATCATCAGCTTTTTAAGTTACAGCAGCCTAATAAACATATCAAAATCACAAAATTCTAACACTCATATGGTTTTCTATCCAGAATATAACTAGTTTCCACTAAACTTTATAGAGGAGAATGCTTAATGGTACATAACAAAAAGATTTTCCTAAAACATGGTACTTCTACTTTAGACAGGTAATTTTTAACTTTGCAAGTACAGGTTATTTGTGGTACAATTAACAAATGCCTGACAAATGTTTTTCCTTATGATTTGTACACTGTTAACTTCTTTTTTTTTCATGGTTTCTTTTTATTATTATTATTTTTTATTCAGCATATTAGGGGGTACAATGTTAAGGTTATATATATGCCTATGCTCCCTATACTGTTTAACTTCTTTTGAAGAAACTTAATTCAGAATATTTTTAAATTTCAGCTTATGAGAGTATTTTAAACTCTAATTTGAGATCATAATTCAATAAAATAATTTAAATTACTACCAGGGAGAGGGTAACTACCACTCTGGGAGGGTCCACTATCTAGACATTTCTCCATTTAACTATCTACCTAACATGCGAGATTCCTACCCAGGCAACAGTTTTTCCTCATGCTCTCAAACTGCAACAGTGGTTAGTCATGGAAGGAAGTCAAAGGTGTGGTGAGGATAAAGAGTTTCAAGTGCTATGTGGCAGACACGAAGGATATCAGGTTAAAACAACTGAAGAGGCCAGATGTGGTGGCTTGCAGCTGTAATCCCAGCACTTTGGGAGACCAAGGTGGGAGAATTGCTTGATCCCTAGGAGGGCACAGTGAGCTAGTAAGCTATGATCATGACACTGCACTCCAACCTGGGCAACAGAGTGAGACCTTGTCTCTTAAAAAAAAAAAAAAAAAAAGAACTTAATAATTATGAACCTACAGTGAAGAAAAAGGTAACTCAACATAGATGTAAAGACTGATAACAGCAGAACAAGAAATTGATTCTAAAATATAAGTGAGGGAAGGAGAGGTATTGGTATTATTTGAAAAAAATGTTAGATGTGACAATTTTAATTTTAGAAAATTTTTCAAATAGATTTTGATAACACAAATTACAGAAAGTAAAGCTTAACAAATCTAAATATTCCAAGTCTAAGAACTTTCTCTTCCTTAAAAAAAAAATAAAAATGAAAGAAAACACTGTATTTCCTCCTATCATGCCAGCATCTTGGTGACAACTAGAGAATTTTATGCTAATCAAAAGAGATTGTGGAGGCTGGGCTTGGTGGCTCTCGCCTGTAATCCTAGCACTCTGGGAGGCCGAGGCAGGTGGATCCTTTGAGCTCAGGAGACCAGCCTGAGCAAGAGCGAGACCCCATCTCTACCAAAAATAGAAAGAAATTAATTGGCCAATTAAAAATATATAGAAAAAATTAGCCAGGCATGGTGTTGCGTGCCTGTAGTCCCAGCTACTCGGGAGGCTGAGGCAGAAGGATCACTTGAGCCCAAGACTCTGAGGTTGCTATGAGCTAGGCTGATGCCATGGCACTCTAGCCTGGGCAACAAACAGAGTGAGACTTTGTCTCAAAAAAAAAAGCTGATATAGAAAACATAGACCTCGGGGGAAGGGGGGAATAGGCATTTATTGAAACCTTGGATTCTGTACCCCCATAATATGCCAAAATTAAAAAAAAAAAAAAAGAAAACATAGACCTAGATTTTCCCCCTATTTTTGCCTTTCTGTCCTATCACCTTTAAATGAACAGGATACTTACTATTTGTTGCCATAGTTTTTTAAAGAGTGAATTAAAATAAAAGTATAAAATACCTCTTAATGGATCTAATGGGCACTGGGTTCTATATAGCCACTAATTATTTTGTTATATAAGTGGGTTTATTGTTGCTTGCTAAGTTTTTTCTGAAACAAATATTTTAATTTGGTCATGATTTCTAATGTGTTAATATTGCCAAATGTGGGAAAAACATACTTTTTTTTTTCTGCAGAAAGTTTAGGTTGACATATTTTTTTTTTTCCTCTCAGATCTACTTAAAAACATATTTATTTCTCGGTGGAGAAATATCAATAAAAAATAAATAAATATAAAAAATATTTATTTTCAATCTTAAGTGAATCCTAGATTTTTAAGTGTCTTTTAATTTTGGTACAGAAATAAGAATCAAGCTCCACAATGACAACCTATTTGGAATTCATTCAACAAAATGAGGAACGAGATGGAGTCCGATTTAGTTGGAATGTTTGGCCATCAAGTCGACTGGAAGCTACAAGAATGGTTGTTCCCGTGGCAGCGCTATTTACACCACTGAAGGAGAGACCTGATTTACCACCTATTCAATATGAACCTGTTCTTTGTAGTAGGACCACTTGTCGTGCAGTTTTGAATCCTTTATGGTAATTAAAATACATGGAAAAAACTAATGTGGCAATATGATTCAAAAATGTAGTGTCTTTCTGGTTCATTTATATAAAAATGCGTTTGCTTTTGTTCATAGTTACTTTTTCAAATTATGAGGTCAAAGAAATTTAAAAAGCTGTAAAATTTTAGGATCATTCTAGTTGTAGTGAGTTGATAATGTAAAGACACTAAATGTAAAAGTGTCACTGTAAAAACCATTAGATCCTATCAGTGTTTTCTAGATGGTTGTGCTGGCTATTTATCAAGCCATCTTGTGTGTTAGAAAAGTATAACTGAGTGGCATGGTGTTGGAAAATGTTAGGTTTTCTTGTTGCTGAAGCCAAAATCTCAGAAGTCATCTTTTTTTCCTCTTTCCACTCCTTCTCCACCCATCAAAGGTGCTAGCAACTCTGAATGATCTACTTTCAGCACATTATGGATTCTGTCTCTTATGCTCAATCTCTGCTAGTACATCCTGCTTCAGATATCACGATCTTTTTCCTGGGCAATTTCAATATCTTCCTAACTGGTCTCCATGTTTTAATTCTCATCTTTCAACAGTCTGTTTGCCACTCAGGAGCTAGCGTTTTATGAATAGAAATCAGATTGTTAAAATCCTCCAATAGCTGCTGCTTATACTTGGAATGAAAAATCCAAACCCCTTATCAAGACCTGTAAAGCCCTACATGATCTAGTCTCTGTATTTCTGCCTTCATTTTGTATCATCCATTTTTCTTATTCTCATCTACATAATACCTTAACTTTATTGCCCTCTTTCTGATCCTCGAACATACCAAACTTATTCCTTCCTTGGAACTTGTGCAGTAGCTATGTATTCTGCCTGGATTGCTCTATTTGCTCATTTTGCTGTTACTGGTTGCTTTTCGTTCAGGTCATACTTGTCTATTTAAGAAGGCTTTCCTTTAAAGTAGCCCTTCCGGCCGGGTGCGGTGGCTCACGCCTGTAATCCTAGCTCTCTGGGAGGCCGAGGCAGGTGGATTGTTTGAGGTTGGTTCGAAAGCAGCCTGAGCAAGAGCGAGACTCTGTCTCTACTATAAATAGAAAGAAATTAATTGGCCAACTAATATATATAGAAAAAATTAGCCGGGCATGGTGGCGCATGCCTGTAGTCCCAGCTACTTGGGAGGCTGAGGCAGAAGGATTGCTTGAGCCCAGGAGTTTGAGGTTGCCGTGAGCTAGGCTAACACCACGGCACTCACTCTAGCCTGGGCAACAAAGCGAGACTCTGTCTCAAAAAAAATAAATAAAAAATAAATAAATAAATAAATAAAGTAGCCCTTCCAAGTGCATTCTCTAATCCTGTTTTGTTTTCTTTAATCTTTGTTATCCCTATCTAAAAGCATTTTATTATTTGTGTATCTACTTGTCTTCTTTATGTCTTTCTCTTCTAGAATATAAACTCCATGAGAGAGGGAACTTTTCTCTCATGCTTACTGCTGTATCACCAGCACCTAAAATAATGGTTGGTACATATTAGGCATTCAGTAAATATATTTTTGACTTGAATAAATGTTTCCTAGGTCTGAGTGTAGATATTACTAAAGTCATTTGAAGAAAAAATAGGAATATCTTAATTTTTTTGATGTTTGCCAAATATTAAAAGTTATTGTATATTTACCACGTAGGTGAACTCGTATATGTTAAAAGTATGAATTAGGTATTGGCAATGTCTTAAAAATACATGGCTTTTAAAGATCACTTTGAATATCAATTTGAATGCATTCATGTTTTAGAAAGATATTAATTTTATTGACACTAGAATTCTTGTAAAATTGAACTGAAACATGAGCTAATGTATGTTTTCTTTTCTTAAAATAGTCAAGTGGATTATCGAGCAAAACTCTGGGCTTGCAATTTTTGTTATCAGAGAAATCAGGTAAGAAAACCCCTATTGCAGATGTTAATGCTATAATACTAGTCCTATAGAAAATGCATATTGAAAAAGAAAGATAAAGTAATTATTTTTCATATAATGAAAATACCTATTTTTAAAATAATTAAATGATTAGGAAATAATTATTTTCAGTTTAAAATTTTAATACTCTTTATGGCAAATGATTTCTTAAAAGCGTTTTTTTTCTCTACCTGTAGTTTCCACCTACTTATGCCGGTATATCTGAACTGAATCAACCTGCTGAACTTTTACCTCAGTTTTCTAGCATTGAATATGTAGTTCTGGTAAGAACATAAGAGCAATATTTAAGAAAGTTTTAAATATCCAGTAATTTGCTTTATACTAAAATAATTGTTAAATTGAGATGACTTAAATGGCATCATTCTTAATTCTTACATTGATTCCATGGAGCATTTCAAAAGTAAGAACTCTCAAGGTCAGTTTGAGCAAGGTAATTTCTCTGTTGTAGTTACTTGATTGGTGGCCAGGATACTTGGTAGGGTGGTGTGATTTGCTATATTAACCACTTCAGTACCGTGTTCACCAGCCGCGAAACCTTGCCCACAGCCAGCACTCATAGTCTGCAAATAACTCACTCTAGCCTGGGCAACAAAGTGAAATTCTGTCTCAAAAAAAATTAAATTGGATTTTCAGAGAACTAGAAACTAGCCAAACTGGACAAATAACTAAATAGCTCAAGTGAACCATAATTCTGTTTTCTCTAAAACATTCATAAGAGATATTATTACTTCCACGCTTAAATATATAAACCGCTATATATATAAACAGCTTCTTTCTGTTCAGAAAGAAGAAAAATAATTTTCCTAACAAGGACCAATGCAAGAATATTTTCATTGTTTAGATACTTAGACTTGAGGATACATTAGCAGACTACAGCATGATACTAAGTATTTATGAACTGACCTTCCAACTATAAAGCAAGATTGATACTTTATTATTTATCTACTTAACCACTTCAGTACCAGTGTCAACTATAATCAATAGCCACAGATGAACACACACAGCGACTTTAGCTGACAGCCGTGATATGTGACTTTTCTAATTTTTCATTTATCAAAATAAAATTGTGAACATTTAAAAATAACGTAATGAAAACATATATGTATATGTTACCTATTCTGATTTACATTACAAGTAAAGCTGCCTGTAAAGTAAAACAAGCTTTCAGTGCTTTAAAGCTTTCCCCATCACACAAGAGCAAAATGGACTCACC